CATGCCTGTAGCAGTATTTGGCGTGTTAAGGCTGTGTCGCTGCTGTAAATGCAGTTGGTACTCCCAACCATTATTCGTCCAGTGTGGTCAAAAAACGACACAATAATAACAGATATTATGAATGCATACTATATGGACTTATAAAAAGGAAGCACAAACACATAGACAACGAAGTTTGATAAATAAAAAGTAAATAGGTAAAAATGACCAAGCCTGTCATAATAAGCCGCGGCACAAAAATATTAGCAAACTACGGGCGAGTTATAATTCAAGGCTTCTGGAGGCCGGGCGATAGACGGGTTCTTTACAAGAATAAGGTTTGTTAATTTACTACCGGTCATACTTGTATCAAAAGACTGATTAGTGAACAAGTAATATTCTTTTCGATAACTTATCAGTTTCTTCAGTTATGTATCCATAATAATGAAAGAATTAGGGTTATCAGCGGCGTTAATGTCTAAATAACATAGAATCAATCGACAGTATGAATAGAATGCAGTTCAGTAACATCTGTAAGCGTGATAATATGCATCAACATAACAATACACACTTAATGTCAGACAAGTAAGGAAAAGTGGTGGTGCAGAATTCATGAATTTATAGGCCCCACAGAAGGCCAGATCAGTAATAGTGACTGGCCAGATCTGTTTCTCCAGCACACAGAGCATCGGTTATTTTAGGTGAATCTCAATAGCCTCTGAAGATTGGAGTTTGCGACGCCTGGGTGCTTCTGACAGTTTATTTGGTACCTGATAGATTATGGAGAGGTAATCTTCAGTCTTGTTGCGGTTCGAACCGGCTGGTCTAATATCCAGCTACTGATGTTTTTCACTACGCCCTTATTTGGCCACTTCGGTAGGTGTTCCAAACCAAGAAAAATCAAGTCTCCGGAGCAACGGCCAACAAAACTCACTTGCCATGTAAGTGAAAAATAGAGATTTGATTCAAGACACCCCTGTCGTGAAATCCTCCAGATTCTCAGTCCACATATCTGTACCATGGGAATATTGTTACATTGGCTATCTACACTCTTACGTCCTAATACAATGTAGTTTAGAAACAACTATGTACCAAATCCAATACATAAATCCCCACTTATTCCCTGCTAAAATAGGAGATTAGGCATTTTCAAGCGATTTACACATTACGACAACACATGGTAAAAAGCAATTTAGAACTGGTTCACGGGTATGTTCATACCAGTTAGCTGTTCACACTTTACAATGGCATAAAAAGTTAGAATGTAGTAGAATTTATTAAACTACTGAATCTTTCCGAGCAAAAATCCTACAACAGTGACGGACAACCGAAATTTAGTCTAAATCAAGAATGCACAAGGATGTCTTTGAAACAACTGTTCTGAATAAATAGATAAAATAAATTACACCAATGTGATTATTACCAACTAAAAACCAACTCTTGATAACTATTCACAAGATGGGTGGAATTTGACATTTTATCAATTCATTCAAAAAACGACGAGAGAAATAGAGCAATCTGATGGAAAATAGCTAGACAGATGGGGAAACAGACTAGTCCTTGAGGACTCTAATTGTATAATAAATATTCCTCCTGTTTGACGTACTTTAAAATAGTACGCCTACTTTTTGTTGCCATACCAACCGGTCTCGCTCTTCCATCTATCTTCTTCTCATTCGTAGTGATTGTGCTGTGATTGTCTTACCTATTCTACGACCTGTCCTTTTGCTCTAATTTCAGTTTGCTTTGTCTTCGCATTCACTCGATCCCCTTTCTACTCCATTAGTAACTCTTTCTCTAGCGTTTTTCAACACAGCTGATCTAGTAAAAACTATGGGGTCCCTCCAAAATAAACTAATTTACTTCATCTTACTATGTATAGGAGGGCTACAAAAACCAAGGGGATAGATTGCATTGCAACACGACAGTGGTCTAGAACCGTGTCAAAGAAACTAACCCCAACCTTAAGGTTTGAATATGCTCGTCAGAAAGATACCTGGTTTTAAACTGAAACTAATGCTTCTATCCTCATATGAGAAAATGTGAGTCTAAAGTCGGAGATAAGAGCCATTATCTGTTAACATTAGAAGCTTAACAGTCGAATTCGAGGTTATGGTTGTCACTTTTCATTATATCTGTCGGTTATATATAGCCAGAGAAAATGAACACGAAATTGGGGATGTAAAATAAAGTCGTTCAGTCATTCTTCCAGCTAATGTCTTGGGCGTTTTACCTCTGAGAAGTGGTACTGTAAAAACTCAGTCCTTTGAAGTAAAACTTCTCTCGCCAACATTCACGAACAGTTGTCGGGAAAGTTAACGAAAAACGAAATGACATTTGGTCGGTTGACTGTAACGCTAGGTGTTTGTCATTACAAATAGTCGTGAATTTCTGGGCCTCCATAATGTCAGAAATAGTCCTTGAGAAGTGTTATTAGTGCCAAATGGAAACCGAAGCCACTACACAAAACTTGGCGGCCAATTTTCCAGCATTTTGTCAGTTACTTATAGTTAAGTAAGCTACGCATTTGAAACCCACTACTGATTAGCGGAGCGGGTTTATAACATATCTTAGCAACGATGCCTATTGTAGTGTTTCCACGTTCGTGTAACGATGTAAGTAATACACTGTTTAAATGTTTGACACTAAACCATGAATTGGTAAAACTTTTATGAGATATCGTTTGGATAGCTTCAGGGCTCTTGCTACTTTTTTCGACACTAGATATCGCTTCTTAGTCATACCAGGGCTTCAGGCTTCAAGGCTTTGCATATAAAGTTTCATTTTTGTGATTATGGGCCTCTATATGTGGTCTATTGCATCAGAAATTCTTCGCTCTCGCTTGTATCCAGGTGACGTTCACTCGAACTAGGGGTCTCTGACATGTGTTATGCAGTCGTCCGACTACGGTATCAATAATCACAATTTCTATTCCTCGAAAAGAAGAAAGTTATTTTCACAGCGTCAACGAGTGTTCATCACGATAAACTGTTAGGAATTATTACACGAATTCTTATTACAAAATAAGAACGAAGATCATTTTTAAATAACGAAAATATTGAAAACAATATGAACAACTAGACATAAAATTGACTTTTGGCTGGATAAGTTATGAATAAATGGGTCATAACAAAATAATGAGCCGATGTATACCTGTTGCTTGTTACTTTTGCACGAGGCTCTCAAGCTTGCGTTGTTACGATGTAAGATGACTGAAATGACTGGCACTAATGCGAAACAGGAGGGCCCCAGAATTTTGCAATCACTGCTACTTCATGAGGTGTGAAGTGCACGTCACAACCTGTAGTACAAAACATCCCGTTTGAAAATTCCCACAATTCCACGGTCACTGACCAGCATAATATTATTTTGACGTAAGCAGTTGTGTGAGATCAGCTTTGAAATGATTTACAGGTCACGCGACAAACGTTCTGTTGATCTTCATCAGATGTGCCAGGAATATTTGAATATATTTGTAAAGTATAGGTTCGAGCGATACTTATTTAGAGGATAGCACTACTCTATCAGGGGCCGTAATCCAAGGCACTATCTGTGGACATTCGGCTAAATGTCATCAGTTTCTGAAGCTCAAAATCTCTCCGTATCTAACTTTTTCAGACCACCAGTAAAACTTGTATGGGAAAACATCGATATCGCACAGTTTCACAATCCGCAGACACAAAATGCGTCAGGAGACCTTCTGTAAATGGTTCCATAAGATTATTTAACTAATGTATTGGGTGATTTGCGATGGACTAAATGTCATACGAAGAAGACTGTGATGCCAACTAGCCAAAACAGGGTCTGCCCAGGAGATACTCACTCTATTCTACGGAAGAAGGTTATCCCTCGTGGTTTGGAAAGTTGGACCATCACTGTTCGGTTTTTTATCTCTACCACTAAAGACCAAAAGAAAACTATCGCATAAAACTAAAGTTTGAAGAGAAAAAGGTCCGGTAGTTAATCCCCTGTAATTTAGCTTCATTTTCTTGCCTCAGTAGATTATTAAGAAAAAAGGTTTAATTGGTGAAGACAAACTGTGACAGCCGCCAAAGGAATCACATCGTTGGTTATAAATGCAGGGTAAGTTTCACTTCAAGAGCTTTCTCACAACCTGATATTTCTACTTTTAACGTCTGGGGTTTAGGTTAGTAGTTAGATTGGGGTTGAGTCAGAGATGGGATGAAATATAGAGCAGGGGGTTATACTGTGGTTATGATTAAGAATTGCATTAGGATTTGAGGTTGGAACCACTAGCTAGGGTGAGTGCAAATCGTCAAAATAAATAGTTAAATTGTTTTGAGTGCCACATATGCCTCATTCCTGACTAGCAACATGATCATTTACTCAGGCTCATTTGATGGCTGTTATAGTTTGTTTTCACTGTGTTTTCGGTGTTCTCTCCCTATTGCTAAGGTTGCATTGAGTGCTGTCGGGACTGCAAGTTACTTTGCCACGGACTAAGAGTCTAGTCATTTGTATGGTCAAGACGCAGACCTACCGGAATAGTTTGGCTACTTTGTAACCATGCTAGCTACTTATAATTGGGGATAAAATGGTCACCAAATTCAGTCCCCACGAGAGAGACAGGACCACTAAATGCTAGGGACTACTGGACGTCTGTTTCCTCCCAGCCTGAGACTCACCAGCGGTTCGCATCCAAAACCTTACCATAACCGAACCTTGCTGACCATCCAACCAAAGAGACTGGAGTCTAGTGACCCATGAATTCGTGACGCACTACTGCCAACTATGAATGTTGCTATGTGACGAATCCACTACCTTATTCTATCAAGATTTTAGAAGCAAATTTAAATGATGTTATCACGGAATAGTAGATGTAGCATTCGGGGGTCAAAGAATTCCGGCCCAGTCCGCTGGATGTTCAAGGAACTTTGCTTTGTAACCTGTAGGCCTCGAGTTCGATCTTTAGAAGGATCGTGGGTTCCAATGCTGATCTCAATGATTCTCTAACCGATGCGCTGGTTCGTGACGAAATCTACACTGAGATGTCATAGTATTTAAAATGATTATCATTATATATTTGTAAAAAAAAGTGTGGAACAACATAAAACAAGTTGGGGAGAAGACAGGACGCCAAAATGTATACTGCCCATCATCTTCTTAGAAGTAGATTGAAAAGTCAGAGGCAGGGACAGAGAGAAATAGACAGTGTAAAATAAGAAGAAGAAGATACAAAAGAAATTGTTCAGTCTGTCTTTGTTATTGTTCTTCAATTAGAAGTTATTATTATATAATTGCGCGTAATAATAATAATAATTTTCAATAGCCTGTTTTGTTCTGAATATAACTAGTCTGAAATGCATATTTTGGCGTAATTATATATTTGATTCGATTTGATTTCATCATACATAATAGTGAAGGGAAGTAAGTATAACTGACATTCGACTAGAATAAACTTTATAACTGAATACAATAAACAAGATTAGGTTGGAACTCGATGAGTTACTCCAGTATCGGGTTATGGGTCACACAGTTCAGCGAAGCGAGTTTCCACCCCTGAACTCACTCACTGGCTGGAAGTTGATTGTTCATAACAATGGGCCGGTATTTCCACGAAATGAAGACGGTGAAGTGGGAGCAGGGTTAAAGGTTCGACGGCGAGGGGAAGCAATGAAATTCACATTGAATAATAATAATTTGTATACATTGGTGTAACGATGAGATAAAATTAGAATTGTACTGGTTAACTTTTAGTCTCGGAGGAATTATGATAACTCCTACTACTACTTTCGCCACCATGATGGAGATGATTCGCGCTATTTGCACCATTCATTCTTGCCCTTTCCCAATTAATTGCATAATTATTCGTATTCGTATTATTACCAATATTGCTACCATTACTACTTCGATGCTTGACTCCGAGTGAATTTGGTGTACTGTATGCACTATGAATATGCGGTGTCGTATGATAAGTGGATGTTGTCAACGATGTATTCAACTGATAAGGTTGATGATGTGGATAATGATGATGAGAAGAAGAAGAAGACGATGGAGCAGAACTAGGTGGGCTAACTGTACTTGTTGTGTTCAAGGTGTTCAATTTTGAAGCTTGAACACGATTTGGCATAGTTGAATACCGACCGCCTGAATTGTTCATATGATTATTTGACATAGAATAATTTAGAATTCCACTTGTTGATTTTGTATGACCAATAGTACCACCAATAGTGCTGCTACTATTACTGATAGTATTATTAGTAGTGGTACTACTATTGTTATTATTACTATTTACAATTCCACCAGCTGATGTCGCTGGAATAGCACCAATTCGTTGTAGATGACAATTTAAGCATAGCATACGTTGTACACTTCGACCAGGTGCTCCAGGATCTGGTTCATTGAATGGATAACAACGTTTCTCTGGTTCATCGCTTAAGCATCGTTTACAATCCTAAAATGTGATTCAAATAGAAACAGAAATGGAAGCTTAATTAATATTATTACTTTGGGATTTTTTAGTCATTTAGTGCTTCTATGTGGTTAAGAGACTTGATGCACCACCAAAAGCTTTTGCAACAGCTTTCCTAACTCCATACTGAAGATCAGATTGCCAGAAAGGATTCAGTTGCTCCTGTGGAGGGAGATATATCGGTCGTTCTGTGTGTGTTTCACTTAAAAAGGTCAAGGACCACTATCTCTCTTGGTTACAGAAAGCTTAGTATGGATCAATAAGCAGTGTTATAGTTGAATATATATTCAACAGTAGCCACTCACTATGTACATAGTAAGGAAAATGCATTCATAGTTGTCTACAAAGTCAAAAGAAGCCTCCTGAAAGCGGTACGCTTCGGTGTACTTTGCATTGCTGAAGCCTTAGCGATTCAGGTCGAAGATTTTGATTTATTTACACAGGAGAGACTTCTCCATTCTCTCTTTCTACCTTGGGGTTAAATTCAAAGCTCAACTTTTACGAATACTTTGTCATTAACATTTCCTGTTACCATAGATAAGAGGCAGAGGGTAAGGATCAACTCGAAACTCTCCTCTTGGATAGCAGTACGTAGCGCAGTGCCACAAGGCATGGCACTCGGACCTCTCCTATTTATTTTGTATATCAATGAATTATCTCTGCTCACCGATTCCCTTACCGTCCTATACGCAGATGACTTCAAAATTTGGAGAGAGCTGAAGGGCAACAGTGACACGTCCACGTTGCAAGAGGACCTCAACAAATTGTCAGAGTGGTCCATAGAATGGATGCTCCCGATAAATGTGGTAAAATGTGCAGCCATGCGCATTGGACAAGCAAGCACGAGCTCCTACGAACTAGAGGAAGTAACACTTCCATCAGATCAGAATCACTTGGACTTAGGTGTCATAGTTATCCACGACTTAAGAACTACAGCACACTGTCGCGCGGTGGCTGCACGTAGTTTCAGGTCATTATGGGCAATTCGTAGAGCCTTTACTAGAATCACCAGAGATATGTTCACCTCCTTATATACATCTCTGGTGAGGTCAAGACTGGAAAACCGCATCCAGGCCGCCAGCCCTTGTCTCAAAGGGGATTCACACATTCTAGAAAGGGTTCAAAGGAAGGCAACACGTATGATTCTCGTCATGACTAACTTATCATACGAGGAAAGACTAGACAGTTTAAATCTCTTCTCACTGTAATACCGTAGGTAGAGAGGAGATTTAATCACAATGTTTAAAATTTTAAATAATGACTACGTACCTGACCTATTCTTTCTTTTCCTTCCCACCAGGTCGGAACACCTTAGAGGACAACGCAGAAGAGTTCAAAAGCCAAGAAGAAATCGTATTGCTGTTGAGTACTGGTTCTCACACCGAGTCATAAACTCTTGGAACCGACTCCCAGAAGAAGTGGTGTCTGCAACCTCAACTGATTTGTTCAAGAAGGGTTTGGACAACCACAGAAATATACTAGAAAAGGATTAACATAGGCTCCAAGCCTTCTATCCTCAACCAATAAATCTGAAATCTGAATCTGTTTTCATGCGACATTTTTTTGATATCATTTTAATCAACCTCTTGCTCACTCTCTTCTCCTACCACATGATTTATTTTGGACACTTTTCCCTATGTTCTTTCGTTAATATTCAGTTTTTATGAATGTTTTTCATATTACTCAGCCTCAGTCTTAAATTACTAATCTTCACCCCCTCCCTAGTTACAACTTGGTGATTCATGGATATTTTGAAGCATTTGAATGACGTGAACAATACCCCAAGCTAATTTTTACTCTTGTTTGACAAACCTAATATACACACATACAGAAACAAACATATATAATCACCGCTGTACAACTAAGTGAATGAGTTCCCTGAAAAGAGAATCTTCGCTGAACTATCTGTTCTCATTTCCATGTCCGGATGGGTATTTTTCAAGGAACAAGGAACTGTGGAAAGGGACCTGTAACCCAACAAATATGCAGAAAGAAATAGAGACGGGTCGGGCACATGTCGAATAGACCGTTGGATGACATCACACACGCCAGGTAGTTCCTCGAGTACAACCTGAATTGGAAACGAGGAGTCAGGCATCCGAGGGGGATGTGACGCAGATCGTGTGAGGTGGAATTGAAAGCCCATGGGCAAACGTGGAAGAAAATAAAACGGACCGCAGATAACAGAATCAAATGGAGATGAGCCTATTGATTCCCTATATTCCACTTGTAATAATTATATTATTATCATAATATTTGACTTTAGAAATAATCTTCTAGACTGTGGATGCTGTTGTTTGTTAACAGTTACATCAGTTAGGGTAATTTGAAAGTAAAATTTACTCGAATAGATGAAAATCCTTCAGACTTACAACACAACGATAACAGTCAATGTGAAATTCTTTACCAAGAGCTACAACTCGTCGAACTTCATCTGAACCCTGTGAATTAAAACAAGAAAAAAAATAAATAAACAAAATAGCAAAAATAATCATTCAGACATCTATAAAACACAAAATAATTGAGCAAAGAATGTCCTTTTCGATAATTTCCTCTTCTGGCTCTACAATCATACACTTATGTGTTTACATACATAGAATATTCTAGAATAGTAGTCAATAACAATATTAGTGTTTTTTAGATAATATCTATTTGTAAGTATGATCAATGCAATTGCAGTTCATTAAAGATGCTTATATTATAATAATAATAAAGATGTAATAGCGAATAGAATATCAACTAAAACTAGGGACATTTCACAAAAATTCCGGATTATTCAAACCTGGATGGCCAACGGGGTAAGGAAAATGTGTGAACTAACTTCTTTTGGACTCACAAATTAGGCTTGTTAATATGGATCCCTACAGCCTCAGCAACATTTAGTAGTCGAACTCTTAAGGTAAAATTGAGATTTGTAGGTATGCTGTAAATGACCCTGAAAGCATGGTTAACGTCAGTCTTGTGTTCTGTATTCACAAGATGAGATAGAATAGCGCTGTGGATAGATTTTGTTTGTCCTTTGCTTAACCACGCAGGGTGATGTTCGGAAATTTGCCGAGAAACACGCCTAATTGTACGGCCTATGTAACTGGCTCCACAGAATCAGTTAAGTTGGTAAATACACATGGAAGAGGCGAAATTAGGCAGTTTGTCTATTATTCCCGAACGCAGAAGAGGAATGGTTTTAAAGATACATCGTAAGTGAGCAGCAGGGAATGCTCTTTATACCGCTTTTCTAAGGCGCTGTGTTAGTACCTCACTGGTGTTGTCTCCTAGGAACTGCATTTGTAAGAACAAGGCCTTTTTCCGAACTGTTGGTACCTTGGGCTGCTGTGATTTTACATTCATATTCTTATCCATAAACTTTTCAGAATAACCATTCTCACTTAGCAACCGATTAATATTGTTAAGTTCCTCGTCAAGACATTCGTCTGAGCAAATCTCTCTTGCTCTGTGGACCAAGCACTTTATTAGATTGCGTTTGTATTTCAAGGGTACAAAGCTGAGAAAATGTGTGTACTGGCCCGTTGATGTAGGTTTTCTATAAACACTTCTTCTTATTGTGCCGTCCTCTTTTCTGGTCACAAGGACGTCTAGAAATGAAATACTAGAGTCTTTTTCTTTCTCAATAGTAAAATTTATTGTAGGATATACCTCATTAAATTTATCCAGGATGTTCTTTGCTTCCTTCTCGTTCTTCATAATCAAAAAGGTATCATCCATGTGCCGACAATAAAATTCGAGTTCATTATAACATCCTTCAAAGGCACATTTTCTAGTTTCGCAAGGAAAATGTCGGCTAGAATGGGTCCTAGTGGTGACCCCATTGCCACACCGTCGATTTGTCTACATAGTTCCTTATTAAATAAAAACTGGACATTCTTTGTCCATTTCAAGAGAAGCTCTTTCATAAAAGATATAAAAATGCCAACATCGATGTTTCGTCTTTTGAGTTCTTTGCATACAAAGTCCACTGTTTCCATGAGTGGTACATTGGTGAATAAGGAAGATACGTCAAATGATATCATGAATTTATTGTCAACATTTAAATCTTTTATCCTTTCAACAAATCCAAAATTATCCTTTACACTATGTTTCACCAACTCAGTATGAAGGGGCTGTTTGAGTTCGACTAACCATTTGGCTACAGGATGGTAATTTTCTTTGCTGGATCTATTTTAGAATGCTTACTGTAATAGGATAACTGACTCGATTATTCAAGTGTTGGTTTGTAGGGATTTGATTGGTTACAGGATTTTCATCATGAGCTGACATCATTTAGAGAACCATTGGAAAACCTGGGAGTACTGGACAGCTGTTTCGTCCTAGTTTGGGACTCTTCATCAGTATGCACCCATCGGGATTCGAACCCAGGACCTTCTGGTTACAAGGCGAGCTAGTATACCATTAAGCCACTGGGACCCGATCCAATGGCTCATGAATTCTATTTTCTAACTAGGACGAAACAGCTGTCCAGTACTCCCAGGTTTTCCAATGGTTCTCTAACTGATGTCAGCTCTTGATGAAAATCCTGTGACTCGATTATGCCATTAGGCTTCAAGTGTTAGTTTTGCAGGGGTTTGATTGGTTTCACGTTAAACTACAAGTTTACATCAAAACAAGTAATTCACCTAAGAGGCTCTTTTCAGAAAATTCATTTTCTTCAGCTGAAAGGGTTCAAAGACCTTGCGTGCTTGCAGAAAGGCAGCAGCAACAGCTCTATCACGAGTGTGATCATTAAACTCTCTGCTAATACTGGTCGAAACAAACTTTTCCTTCAAAATAAAGCGTAGAGGAAAAACATCCTGCCATTAAAGACAACACGTTTTCTTCTTCACCACACAGTGCTAAAGCTCTAGCAATTCACATGAGAATACTGGGACTGTGTATACAGCGGCTTCTGCTATCGTGGAGACTACCTTGGTTTTGTGTGTGTTTGTTTGTTTAGAACAACACATTTAAACGAACAGTGATATTGTGTTTTCAATTAGATCTCATCAGGCTTAACTCTAATATGCCTACATAAGTTTGCAAATAAAAATTCAAAATATAAACCAATCATGGTGTTTTGTCTATAGGTTAATAAGATGGTGAACATAAATTGTGCTTCTTTTTCTTCTTTTCTTTTTCCTTCACGCTTCCCAGTGGAACATAGGGCTTCAAGCTAGTGGCTTGAAGTCTCTGTAGCAGTGTTTATTTTACAGGGTGGGGTTGCTAGCCTCATGCCCAACCTTCTCTCTTTACCAGTCTTACTACTGGCTTAGCTAGGTAAAGGTGTGCGTCGGTGGCCGGGGATCGAACCCCGGACCATGTGCATGGTCGGCGAGCGTCCTAACCGCTATGCCACCGACGCCATAAATTGTGCAAGTAGTCATAATAGTAATAGTGATAATGATATTGATGGTTTTATCGATAAAGGCTAGTCAAAACAAATGAACCGATTCAGTAATGCTAGATTGTAAGGGAACTAAATGAAACACGTTTTTAATGAAGATGTGATAAGATTGAGGGATGATATGGAAGGGGTTGAAAATATAAATAAGACGTGGTGTAGACGTCATTAGGTTGTTATGTGCATTGATAGTGCTTTCCGGGAGACGCTTCTTCAAGAATTGGAAACATTTATTTCCCGATCCAAATTTAAAACAAGCAATAAAGGTAAATAAAGCAGGATTTAATGTCTAATTGTTTATCTAAGTGATGTAATTGAAGCATAATGCAATTTATCTTAATTTTGATCTCCCATACTCTCTCTCCCCTTATCTAATTGAACATGACCTGGAAAAACATTCGCACCTGTCTTTCTGCATGACTAATTCAATGTAGTTTATTTACTTATCAGTCCTATATCTCCCAATGTAATTTCAAAAGTATATATATCCCCGTATGTAGAGTATTCAGCTGATGAGTTCTACCGAAATTTGATGAATTCATTAAATCCTGCTTTATTAACCTTTATTGCTTGTGTTAAGTTGGTTACGTCTGAATAGGCCAACAAGGGTGGGATAATGGCTGTACGAACTTCTTTTGAATGCACAGTTTAGGTTTGATAGTCCGAATGCCTATCGCCTCAGCTGTGTGCAATAAACGAATACGAAGTCTATTGGAAAGATTCGGTGGGATACGATGAATAGTCACTTTGAAAGCTCTCGTTTTCTCCACTACATGACCACTATCAATTAAATGTTACAAAATTGAGCTATGGATTGTTTTTGTCTGTCCTTTGCCAAACCACGGTGGGAGATGTTCACTAACACGTTGGCTAAGCTGTCTAGTAGTAAGCCCAACACCCCGGGTGCAGTTGAATTGATAAATGCACATAGATGTGGCAAAACTATCAAGTTTATCCTTCGTTTGCGTCCCAGTCATTCGTCGGCTAGAGAATGACAAACATAGGTGTGCTGCGTAAAACGTTCTTCGTATTCATTCCTGAAAAGTCTCTGGAATAAAATCTCACTTGACGGACAAGTCACTATTAAATTGTAACTTAATAAATAGAGGTTTTTACGTGTAGTCAGAGTCTCAGGTTTTCTCTCTGATGTTTTCATATGTTTCTTTATGAAACTACTCGCCAGTCAGTCAGCAAGGCGTATCTGCAACCTTGGAGGAACTCATATCCCTTCTGAGATTCGAACCCGTGTCAAGCAGTGCAACCTGCAGTCAGAGACGTTACCACTGAGCTATTCGAGCTCGCGATTGATCTCCTGTAGGACTTTAGTGGATATTTTGACTGGACACTAATCAGTAACTAGTGTGATGTGTCTAGTCCTTTCTTTGGTGTGGACTGAATTCTATCAGTCAGGTTTGTAATGTGGCCACCATTCTAGGTAGCTCGCCATCACGGTGCAAATTGATTCGATGATATTAGATGCTTGGAAGCAATCAGCAGGAAGCCTTGGACCTAGGTTTCGTGCTAGTTGGCACTCGTCAGCAGGGCCTATCTGTAACCTGCTGATTGCCTCCAACCATCTAATATCATCGAATCAATGTGCACCGTGATGGCGAGCTACATAGAATGCTGGCCACATTACAAACCTGACTGACTGATAGAATTCAGTCCACACCAAAGAAAGGACTAGACACATCACACACTAGTTACTAGTGTCCAGTCAAAATAATAGGCATTGATGTGATATCAGTTTCATTTGGAGGTATGCCATCTTTATTCACTAAGATCCAGATAGTATATCTAGCTGGGAAGTTCAAAATGGAGTGGAATGTGACTCATGGCTTCACTGTTTATCATGAAGTAAAGTAATAGTCATTCATAAAATTTGAACAGCAGTTACATCATAACCTTATGTTTCGATATACTTCTATCGATGCTATGTGTGGTTCAGTGATAGAGTGCTCGCCAACCACGCCTCAAGTGGTCCGGGATTCGATTCCTGGCTGACGCAGTCCTTAACCTTACTTAACTTTCAGTAGGCCCTTAAAGAGATAATGTTGGACACGAAGCTAGCAACCTGTCTCGTAAAAACGATATAACCACTGCGCTGGTGAAAAATCTACGCTCATTCTAAAAGCTATATATCTCCCTTATAGTGCAAAGAAATGAAAAAGAAATACCAATGCTAACTGTTACCTAGCCTAGCTAATTTTCTAGCTGCTCCAAAATCGGGGTAAAGAGGCAGGTTTGGGCTTGGGGCTACTGATACTTCAAAACACAGTAAAAATATAAAATCAAACTTATTCACCACTGGAATTGCAGAGGCTGGTGAAACTTCGTCTTCGGGAACCCAGCCAGCCGACGTATCTTCTCTCGATGAAAGCAAGAATAAGAATGCGGACATGGAATCTCCGTACAATCTAAGAGGCTGGCTGAGAAGGCTGCCCAGGTGGCCAAAGAAATGCGAAGATATCGCATAGAAGTGATAGGAATCTGCGGGAGCAGATGGAATGTGAACTGTTAAAATTGTCAACTCGTGAGTCAGAAACCCACTCTGGTCTGGTCACCAAAACGATTACCACTAGCACAATGAGGGAGTGAGTGAGTGGCTATGATGATATCACCAGTGGCAGCCAAAGCCTTAATATATAGTGAGAACATATTTCATCCAACAGTATGACAGCAGGATTCAACTCAGAAGGAGGGTCACAATTATCCCATGATACGCACCTTAATTGGAGTGGACGGGATTATGCGTCATACTGTGCATGGATCGATGAGAAGACTCTAGAAGGTCTGGATTTCACGCCTGGACGATTTATGTTTAATGTCAAACAAACTCGAAGACTCACAGGCGAAATCCAACAAGTTGACAGAAGAAGCAGTAAAGACAGTACTTCAAGTGAACGAAGAGGAGACGGAGGTGATGAAGATAACCAACCAACCAACAACAACAGCAACCAGCACCGATGACCATCAGTGGGAGAGATTTTACAGAGGTTACTTCTTTCCTTCACTTATCTAGGAAGCACAGTTTCAACCACAGACAGTCGGAACAGATAAAGATGTCAAAGCCAGTCAGATTAGGAAAGGTAAGATATGACTTCATCAACCTATGCATAGTATAGAAAACTCTCTGGCAGATATTCCAACCGTACGAAAAGTTGATAGAACACCTTCAGAATTAGCCAAAGGTAACATCTGATATGAATAAAAAATTCGCACAGGCCTGTAATAGAAAATCAACTACCTAAAGGAGTTCAATTCTTAATTGACCGCCTCCATTCTATCTATAAATGTATGTTGAGACAACAGCGCGGCTAATTTGTTTTGTAATGATTTATATCCTCGACCAATTCTTACAGAAAGGAGTTTTGGTCTCACCTTGTGTGATATATTCCTACTGATTGTCAGGGGACTTAAAATTGTGTTTGGTCATCTGATTTTGTTGTGTAGTAAGTTTTCTATAGTTTGGTTTGTAAGGATTAGTTATGTTTTTACGAGTTGATCACGGATTGATATCAGTTAGAGAACCATTGAAAATCAGCCACAGGGAGTACTGGACAGCTGCTGTTTCATCCTAGTTTGGGAATCATCGGCAGTACGCACCCACTGCCAAGGTTCGAACCCAGGACCTTCCGGTTACAAGGCAAGCTTGTATACCATTCAGCTACCATTCGCTAGTGACTACTGGCTACAGGATGAAGTTTCCTGGACTTCTAGTGAGAAGTCGTGACCAGTGAGGTCCAATTAGATGTCACACGTGTGGATGGATGTCCCACCAACGAAAATGGTTGGGGTCGCGCTAAATCACGAATTGGCAGAAGTTAGAATTCATGAGCCATTGAATCGGGTCTGGTCCCACTGGCTGAATGGTATACGAGCTTGCCTTGTAACCGGAAGGTCCTGGGTTCGAACCCTGGTGGTGGGTGCATACTGCCGATGATTTTCAAACTAGGATGAAACACCAGCTGTGCAGTAAGTATTTAATACCTAAGAAACTTTTAAACTGCATAGCTCCTGGATAGCATTGCATTTTTGATATGAGTTATTGTTATACAACGATACCTTGGACTACACCACATCAAAGTGTCTCTTTAAAATATTGTTGGAATATAAATTTCGAGCGTGATCAACTCTCCGAAGTTTCATGAGCAATACAAAAAGACTCATCGATTAGTTTTCCACATTCAAACTGAAATACTTGAGTATCCCCGTGTACTCCACTGCCAGTCATTGGAAAACACATGACATCAGGATAAAAAAGGCGTTACCTACCTCTTCTGGCATAATCACCAATCCACAGACAGCGCATAATGGACCATAGACGAGATGATAATCTGGTAGGCAATAGATTAAATTACGTGAGTCAACTGTAAACGGTATTCCATCTAAACATTTTGTACATATACAACAGCGGAAACATCCTGGATGATATGTATTGCCCATTGCTAAAAGAATCTGTGGGATAATAACAAGAGTAAAAATGTTCATGAAGTAAATATTATCAAAATAAAAGATTTATGGGTACATATTTACCTGTATGGTTAAGTAAAGGAGCGAATAAATACATGAACATTCAAGTGTTGGTTTGTAGGGATTTGATTGATTGGTTACAGGATTTCACCATGAGCTGACATTAGTTAGAGAACCATTGGAAAACCTGGGAGTACATGAACAGCTAGGTCTTAGTTCACTTGGTAGATAGATACTGAACATTCAATAGTAGAACTGGAGAAGACCTTCTCAGTGATCCACTGTGTCCCTGGTTATTTACCTACAAGAAAGCTCGAGTGTGTCTTCTGTCAATAAATAGCCAAAAGCGATAGCAATCAGCACCAGAAAATGTGGTTCCTGTATCCCAGAGAAGCCTAACCGCCTATATGACTGGATGTTCCCTTGGGTTCCAAGTGGAACACAGGGCTTCAACAGCACGTCTTCACTTTGTCCTATTCTATGCGGTCCTCTTTAGTTGGTTCCACGATTGTCGATAGTGTCTCAACTCTTCCTCGAACGATCTCCTCCATGTCACTCTCGAACAAAAGTCCAACTTGCAGTTTCCACTCAGGTTCCACTTAGGAGATGACTTGGTGCGAGATATCACCCAACGATCTTCTCAGTATGTGTTCGATCAGTCTCCACTTTTTCTGGTTTTTATTTTTGAGTAAGTGTTTATTGATCGGTTGATAGTATCTTTCCTAGACAGTATGATAGACAGCGCTAACTTTGAAGTGAATTGATTTCCTAGAATTCTTCGTGAATTCTATATCTATCCCTCCTAAAAACTTTGGTGGTCTTTGGGGGTTTTCTTATCTCCTTACACTCATTTGTATTGGCACTGATCTTTCCGCTGACCTTGCCAGCATCTGACTTTTTCGCAACGTATACTATTATGGAGATTGCAAATGGGTAAACCGTGGGGTAAGGGTGGGGAAATGAGTGAATTTGATCGGATGAGAAGTGGTCACAAAATGGGTCAATTGTAACATAAAATACCCACTTTCCCCACTTTTATCAATTCCTCCCAAGTCGTCACCCATTTTTTTCCTTCATCCCTATTATTTTCCCCACTTTCTGAGCGAACAAATTACCAACTTTAACCTATGTTCCCAAGTGTGAGCATAAAGAATAACACTTTTCTTTTATGCCATCCATACCATCCACAGAAGTACGCACTTTTTCCTCACTTTGTTCCGTTATGAACATAAGGCTGCCTATGGTTTTACCTACTTTACCGATGTTTATGAAGAAATTTTCCGACTGGGTAACTTTTTATTTATTGGTTGATAAGTTATATTATCGATATCAACATCGCTGTTGATTGGGGAATGATCTGAGTACTAGACGTATGGAAAATCCCCTAGCATCTTTAGTATTTCCGCTGAGTACAATTCCTACATTTTCCCAATCGAATCGATGTCTATAGTTATCCATATGTACTGATTTGAAAGAATACATTTCATGTCTATTCAGGTACTGGTTTGTAGGAATTTGATTGATTGGTTACAGGGTTTCATCATGGGCTGACATCGGTTAGATAACCACTGGAAAGCCGACGCCTGTTTCATCCCACTTTGGGACTCCTCATTGGCACATATTCACTGGGGTTCGAACCCAGAACCTTCCGGCCTACGAGCTCGCCTTGTAACCAGAAGGTCCTGGGTCCGAAACCCGATGAATGTGGGCCGATGAAGAGTCCCAAACTGGTTAGAAACAGCTGTCGGATTTCCAGTGGTTATCTGACCGATATCAGCTCATGATGAAATCCTGTCATATTTTATGTCTGTTGACGGATGATAAGTCGAAGGGGACGCCCACTTTGGTCACAGCCGATTCAATTTATCTCACAAAATGGTGTTCATTCTGCCCACTTTTATTGCTGAGTTTTCTGGTCTAAACACTATCAAGTGAAGTGATTGGATGTGTGTGTGTGCGTGCGTATATCGGTTTGTGTGTGAGATGTCTATTTCGAACACTCAAGGTTATCACGAGATACAGTTTGTATCATTCATAGAGAATCCCAAAATATTCCCGCTCTACAAGGGGGCAGTGAAGTAAAACTATAGCAGCCACCCCGTAATTTAACCGTCGACAGTCCATCAGAGTTACAGGTTTATAGCGAAATCAAATTACAACTTCCGTTCTGAATTAGCCTAACGACTTCAAGGAGGACTAAATGTTCGATTACTGTGTAAAAAGACGGATTAATTGGAGTAGGGAGGCTGACGGTATTGACGTTCGCGGATTGTACGGAGTATACTAACGCAAGATCTAATACCCACAACTTCTATAGTATTCGTTCCGCGTAGACTAAAGGCAAAGCAAAAGACCACAATTGATCGTCCAAATTATGAGATATATTTCGGGACCAAATTGGACTGCGAGATGATTGCTTAGCTGGCTAGTGATCGTGCACGAACGTGACACGACAGAGTACCAAATGGTGTGGATGCTTGACCGGAAGCCTTCAACTAAACAAGTTGAGTTAAACAGTGAGGGTCAGCATCCAATGTTCAGTGATGATTGCTGTGGTCAATAATTTTGGGGAATTATTTACCGCTACAGGAGTTTCTAAAAGATGCATATTCAGAGGAATTTTGACAGAATAACTGGTCATTTGGGAGAATTATGATTTCGGCGTAGAATAATGAACAGGATCAGAAATATTTGAACGGATCAAGGAATATCATGGTATGTAGATATATTTTCGATTATTTGGTAATTGTATCCCTTATATATTGTGACTAGCTGCTAAAGATTTGTCTGTGGTAAGTTCTACTGAGGTAGCTGCTATAGGTTAACTTCGCCGTCTGGAGATGTTTAGAAGAATAATGATGATGATGGTGATAGCTACTCAACACTGAAATAAGACATCCACCTCAGCTACAAATCTTCATAATTATATCGTGTTAAATGATCCAGACAGGTGGTCCTTTAACAATCCATCAGTCAGTTTCACTTAGTATTGCTTAGCATAACTTAAAGTCGTTCCAGTGGTTCACCATTTCAGAATTTTCAAGAATACATTTAATCAACCGAATGAACGTAAGAAATAAAAAACCCGTAAGCAGAAAACTCACAGTTTCAGCGATTATATGTCCACAAGCGAAACATTTCTCCACTGTCTGTTGAAAACCACAATACTGAAAAGAGAAAAAAACGGTAAACGGTGAAATGAGAATTATAAACCAATGGAGTTTTTTATTATTTGATTGGTTGGAGGATTTCATCGTCAGGTGACATCAGATAGAGTACTGGACAGTCAGCTTTTTCGTCAGGGTAGCTTTGGTCTCTTCACAGTATGCACCCACCTACTCCATCGTTCGAACCCAGGACCTTCTGGTTACAAGGCGAGCTAGCTCGTAGACTGTTAAGCCACTCACTGGGACCCGATCCAATTGTCAGCCCATGAATTCCAACTCCTTTCAATTCATGACATAGCGCCTCCACTTCGCAATGTTTTCTTCAATGAGTCACTGCCTCACTTTCAACCTTTTGTACACTACAGGTCAAGGCTTCTCACTAGAACCCCCAGGCCAGTCGCTAGTGAGCATCAGATCAGTTTTCAAATATTTGTTTTGTAGGGAATTTTTTGTTTGATTGGTTGGAGGATTTCATCATGAGCTGACATCAGTTAGTTCTGGTGGGAAGCCGTGACCAGTAGGGTACAGCAAGTTGAAGGTGGGGCAATAACTCATCAAAGAAGACATTGAGAAATGGTCCCGCTACGTCATGAGTTGGCGGAAGTTAGAGTTCATGGACTGGGCATCGGATCGGCTCCCAGTGACTTAATGGTCTACGAGCTCGCTAGCCTTGCAATTAGAAGGTATTGGGTTCGAACCGTGGTAGTGGGTGCGTACTTATGAAGATTGAGAAGAATAAGAAGTTCAGCAACTCCCATCTCAAGTTGAAAATTATTATTTCAATTTTGTTTCCATGCTCATCTTCTACATACCTGTAATTCGTTGTAACCCTGTATAATTTTTAAGGCTCTTGTAATCTATATTCGCACCTCCTGATTCCCATCTCAAGTTGAAAATTATTATTTCAATTTTGTATCCATGCACACTTGATATCCGTTCTAATCCTGCGTAATTTTGTTTCTAAGGCTCTCGTAAAACCATATCTAGTTGGAAATAATTATCACCTTTTATTCGCCGTCATAATTATGTAGAATCAAACAAGAATTGTCACCATGTAAAATTATGTATTCAAATGCGATTGTACAGCTTTTGAAAATAAAATCGCCGAAAAGATATCTTTACTGAACTACTTATGAAGAGTTCAAAACTAGGACGAAATAGCTGTTCAGTACCACAGTGCTGGTTTTCAATGGTTCTCTAACTCATGTCAGCTCATAATGAAATCCTCTAACCAATCTAACAATTCATGAATTTAAGGGCCAGACCTTTGTGTACAAAAGAAGTATGTATAATCCCTACTTCTGCCTTGGCCGTAGAGGCATAGACATTTATCTCTCTGTTTATTTTGTTTATTTGGTTAATCTATGTACCTTTCCCTCATTACTACGATTATTGTTATTATTATTCTCACTCTGAATTGTTTCCGCTTGTCCCACTTGTCGTTCTAAATCTAAAATTTTTTTTATAATATTGAATTCTATTTTATCAAATTTCAGACCATGTTATGTAACATTTTATATTAGCCCACTAATCCTATAATTATGCACCCCTTTCCAACATCTATACACCTCATGAATTATTCTATGAATTATTCATGACATTAATTGTTTTGTCACTTGACACTTAACTATGATTATAATCACACATATTTCGATTGCATTTCATACTAATATTATTATTTCATGTATTCACACGTTTGATATAGTTCCCTCACTGGATATAATTTCTTAAAAAGAACCATACGTATACGATTGTACAGCTTGACATCGAATACCCCTCAGTGAATTTAAATAAAGCAAGAACAACAGTGGTTTGTGCAGAATAATATGGTACCATCATTGTTTATTTCGTTGGCTTCGCATCAGCTGCTTACAGCTTGCAAATTTTTCATGATGTTAGTTGACAGAAGGTTCCACAATTAGTGAACAGTGCTCAGAAAATTGAGTTTAAGTTTAAACAAAATAAATGTATGCATACAATAGTACTCTTTGGCTTTAACCTCTCCTCTTTGATACAGTGTAATTTTGCTTGTCTCTTGTTTCTATGATTTGAGCTGAACTCAGTACATTGCTACCTAATTTATTGATCACTTAGCATCTTACGCATCTCTCGTCTTTATTGCGTAACTCCTTTACCATTGTATGCATACATTTATTTTGTTTAAACCTGAACTGCCTGTGTAAAAACTAGATAAGCGCAATTTTCTGAGCATTGTTCACTAATTGTAGAACCTTCTGTTAGCTGACATCATGAAAAATTTGCAAACTGTAAGCAGCTGATGAGAAGCCAACGAAATAAATAATGATGGCACCGTATTATTCTGTACAAACCACACTGTTGTTCTTGCTTTATTCGAATTCGTTGAAAAGAGTCCCTTCTCTGTGTATTATGTTCTTAAGACAAGACCGTCTGCTATTACCGATGATCTTCCTAATTTTAGTGGACTGCAACATACGATAAACAGTGAGAGACGAGAAAGAAGATGAGCTTACAAAGTGGTCAGATAAAAGACACTAGAAGATCCAGATTTCAAGAATTATCTTTGTTTCATGTTTCACAAGACTTAGAGAACTACCAGTGAAAATCAACAAGTTAACAGAAGAGACTGGCAGTGAAGACAGGATTTTAAGTGGACATGGATTGGACAGAAGTAATAAAGATATCCAACCAACAAGATCAAGAACAAGTCACCGGCTATGGCAGCAATCTACAGGAAGTCATCGCTGTCGGTTGGTTATCTTGGAAGTATCGTTCCAAACCACAGGCGGCACGAATGAAGATATGAAAGTCAACCAACCAGAATGGGATCAATGCTGCAACATAGGCGTTCATCACTCTGAAATTATTGTGAAAGTCTACACCAATTACTCAGCCATCACAAAGAGCCAGATCCGAATTTTCATCACCGACGTCAAGTCTATCAGGGATCCTGTATGTATCAGAGACTTGGTGTGGGCGCTTCACCAACAGCTTTTTCAACAGGCTGCTCAAGACCTTCATCAACAGTTGCTCCCTCCGCTGACTCCATAATAAAGATTAGATGACCAGAGACGGTAAGAAACAGGGAACTCTGCCAGACGACGGACCAACCAAAAACCTATCGGCTAACAACTATGAGACCATCAGGTGACATCCCCAGTCGAGTGGAACCCGAGTGTAACATGGAGGAGATCATGTGAGGAGTTAGTGAAACATCTATCTAAAAATATTTTTATTATTATTATAAGGTAGGTTTTGTTGAGAAGTGACGCAGTAAATTTGAACAAATTATGGACGACATTTAAAACAGGATAACACGGAATGCTTCCATTTCACTGGCCTTCACCAAGCACTTATGATATTAACTGATCTCAGTATCGAAATCAGGCAGACAGCATTCACAGATTTCAGTGGTCTAATCGGAAGATAGGAAGACGTTAAGTTTACGCGAATCGCAACACGGATGTTAATAAATTCACTAATAAGAGTATTGTAGATCCACGAGAAAATTGTGCACAATCATATATACTACTCATTAATAGATGTGAGTAGTTGAAAACAATTTACGTAAGTTGTCTAAACACTGGACACAATCGTTTCGGTCATTTAGGCTCTCAGTTAACATGTACTACTGATTTGAGTAAGTGGTACCCAACTACTTATATCATTCAATCAGTAGTATATAGTTCTATACCACTATGCTTGCTTTCTTGGTTCCCACTTATAGTATCGAATGGATCACACAAAGTGAACAGAATATTTGTGAGTGTCCAAAGGAAACTGTAGGCAATTTTCATCCTCACTTGTGTTATTTTTAGGATTGCAAATACCAGATTAAGAAAGAAATTTAGAAAATAAGGTGAAGTTAGTCTCACAGCCAAAATTCCACTGACCTTGAACAACCAATCAGAATTCAGATGAGAAAAAATTGGCATAATCGTTAAAGAAAAAGTGTATTAAAAGACGTTACAAATATGTTTTTTTTTATTATAGCTTGATTCCACGCTGTATTTTTGTACAAGTACGGAATTTTCAGCATGTGATATCGGTAGGCCAAATTTCGCAGGCCTACTATTGATATCAGGTGTACGTCGGCAGGGGATCAAACCCTGGAACATGTGCATGGTCGGTGAGAGTCCCGACCGCTGTGCCACCGACGCACACATATGGTGTTAAGCGGAATAATGGTCTCTAATGCGTTGTAGAAATATCTCCCAGTTTCTCAGAGGAAAATCCTCTCCATCCGTGCCGACTGCCTATAGTTCAAAAGATGTCTCCTAGATAAGTGAACGAGGTGACCTCTGTCAAATATCTCCCGTTGATGGTGACTGGTGCTGCTTGTTGTTGTTGTCGCTACTGTTGGTTGGTTATCTTCATCACCTCTATATAAATTCTCTATGTTCACTTGAAGTCCTGTCTTCGTTGCCAGCCTTTCCTGCCGGTTTGTTGCTTTTCACCTGCAGGTCTTCGAGTTTGTTTGACATTAAACGTAAATCTTCCACGAAATCCAGGTCTGCTAGAGTCTTCTTATCTGTCCATTTGTATTCCTGTCTTTACACTCCCTGTGCACAATCTGATGCATAATCCATTCCACCACAATTAGGATTATCATCGGTGATAGTATGCAGTCTTGTCTTACTCCTGTATTCACTTCAAAGGCTCCTCTGAGTTTTCCGTTGTGGATCACCTGACACGTTCCATTTCACAATCTTCCCTGTGATCACCTTTAACGGGTTGGTTCCAAAATCGTCCACAAGCTTTCACTTCCTCCCCCCTCCTCACACGATCCTCTCCATATCATATACGTGGACCCACTCTCAATTCATTGTTTCCCATTCATGGTCCAGTAAAGAACCTGTCCGGAGAGTCATGTCTCTCATCAGTCTTTTCAGCATGTATGTCCAATCCATCCATTTCAGTTTCTTTCAACAAATTAGTTGGGAAGGTGGATCCCGGTTGGTTCGCCAGTTGTCAGAGTTCCTTGTTGTTTATCGTTTCTGTCCAGTCGGCTACTTGATCTTCAGTAACGAAAGAGTGAAGGGTGCCGCTGCTGATGGAAGTGCCATGCACGCATGTATTAAGTCGTTGAACCGGTCTTAAGACCGAAGAAATGGGGGAAGGGGTAGGTTTGGGCGTGGAGACAATGACTCTAACGCGTAAAATCAATCCAGTTGCTACAGAGACTTCAAAACACAGAAAAATCAATATTATTTATCTATGAAGCGTGAAAATTCTTACCAGATAATCTTCTTCACAATAGATTTTATCTTGATCCTTGTAGAATACTTTGCCACGTAAAGTTCTCTCTGAAAATGAAAGAAGAAAAGGTGTTCAGATTTATTCAATATAGTATAAAATGAAAGGTTGATTTGATATGACTATGAACGCCAAATTGTTCTCGAAACATCATCCAATTTAACATCACCGTAGCAGTATATGTGTAGCATGTTGAATAGTCAGAGTGGAAAAATCCGTGTTATGTCTAGTCTGATGTAGTCTGTTGTCATTGGTTACCAGATTCTATCAGTCTAGTTAGCTGTGTGGTCACCAGCCTAGGAGACTATTTATAGTGGTGAACTTTTGAATTTATGTTTGGCGGTTGGAGGAAATAGGCAGGAAGCCCGGACTGACCAAGGTTTCGTCTTTCAGGTGTTGGTTGGTTTCAGGATTTCATCATGAACTGACATCGATTAGAGGATCATCGGAAATCACTACTAGAGTAATGGACAGTTGTTTTGTCCTAGTTTGGGACTCTTCGTCGGTACGCACACACTGGGTACTAACTCAGGACCTTCTGGTTACAAGATGAGCTTGAAGACCATTAAGCCACTGGGACCCGACGTAGTAGTCAGTCTATAAATTCCAACCTCTGCCAACTCATGACATGGTGCGACCACCAGCTGTACCCCATCGGTCACGAATCTCAGTGGGTGAGTACTGTGAAGAGTCCCGAAATAGGACGAAACAACTGTCCAGCACTCTAGTAGTGATTTCCAATGGTCCTCTAACCGATGTCACTTCATGATAGAATCCTGGAACCAATCAAATCCCTGCAGACCAACAAATGAATATCAATGAGATGCTCACTGGCCATATTCAGGTAGGTAGTTACCTGGGTTCTAGTGGGAAGTCGTGACCAATAGAGTACAACAGGTCGGGTATGGAGACAAATACTCCCCAGCGATGACATTCGTTAGTGGTTGCGCCATATCATGAATTGGCAGAAGTTAGAGTTCATAGACTGACTACTGCGTGGGTCCCAGTATCTTAGTTGTCTACGAGCTAGCTCGCCTTGTAACCGGAAGGTCCTGGGTTCGAAGCCCATGATGGTGGGTGCGTACTGATGAAGAGTCCCAAACTACGCTGATAAAACAACTGTCCAGTACTCCCAGGTTTCGTGTTTGTTATCAGTAAGGCGTATCTAAAGCCTTAACAGATGAAGTAATTTAGTCCCTGGTGACCGATCGATACAGAAATTGCAATTCTACAGGAGGTCAATTATGGCCCTGAATGACTCAGTGGTAACATCCTAGATTGCATCACTGGGTAACACCGATTCAAATCACCGAACCAACATTACTTCCTTCAAAGTGACTACGAAATCAAGATTGACCACACCTAACCGCCTAAGATTATTGGTCCAAAATGTTCACCTTAATAGCCAGTCTGACAAAGTGATCATCATATTGTAACAACAGATGACAAGGGCCAGGCAACAGATCGTTTATTTAGGAAATCAACAGATATTTATAGATTTTCATGTTCGTTATTATAGATTATTGTAAGCAAACACACAAAGTCTACTGATTGGTGGTTTCTAGCTGAACGTTAATTTTTCACCTCTTTGTGGCCGTTTATTGAAGTTTAGATTGTCTATCTATTAATTGTATCAGCCTACGCTCGCCGACCATGCACATGGTCCGGGATTCGATCCCCGGCCGACGCACTCCTTTACCTCGCTAAGCCAGAAATAATGCTGGTAAAGGGGAAAGGTTGGGCATGAGGCTAGCAACCCCATCCTGTAAAATAAACACTGCTACAGAAACTTCAAGCCCTTAGCTTGAAGCCCTATGTTCCACTGGGGAACGTGAAGGAATAAAAATACGCAAAGTCTGCTGTGACTGGCTGTTGAGTCAGTCTTTGTTCTTGTTCTTTTCTCATTAGCAATATTGGGAACGTAAACATTGACGTAAATTACTGTCTACCAATTCGGCTAGCAGCCAGCTCTCACCACAATATTAAAACCGAATGACAGAATCCAGTCAGCCCCACTAATGACTGGACACATGACTAATAAAAGCATTGATGTTTCTATGCTTTCAGACCAAGAGCTCACACTAGCATTAAGGAACCATCGAAAACCAGGGACTACTAGACAGTTGTTTCATCCTAGTTTGGGACTCTTTAACAAACAATACACATACATAAACCTCTCACCGATGGACAAACCCAGGACCTGTTCATCATTCAGCCACTAAGACGAAATCCGATGGCCCATGAATTCTAACTTGTACCTATTCACGATACATAACGCCATCACTAGCACTGATGTTTACCGCGATTATCGCAAAATGTAACCCTGAGTGCACTAAACAACACCTCAAAATTATAAAATAACCATTGAAAGAATTTATCGAAATAACCTCATAACTAGAAGTTAATTGGTTGATGATGACTAGTAGTGGAATCCAGGATGCGCATTTCGTCTTATTTGGGACTCGACGGATGTACCTGCATTCCCCAACCAGTGATGATGTTCCCAACGAGGCTCGAACCCAGTGCCCATAGTTTCAAACGCCAAAGCGTTATCCACTAGACCACTTGGGCCACGAGAGTCACCTTTTGTGCATCGGGTCATATTAATTATTTAATTGAATTTTAGATTTTCCCGTCGATTGATTGGACCGAAGTGCTCGGTCTCAGGTGGAAAAGTCGGCTTCTTGTGCAGATGCTTCGACAATGCCTGGGCATGCAATTAGAATTTAATTTGTGAATGGTGACTAGCAGTGGAATCTAGGATGCGCATTTCGTCCTATTTGGCACTCGTCACCAGCTGGATGTACCTGCATCCCCCAGTGAGTGATGATGTTCCCACCGAGGCTCGAACAAATAGGACGAAATGCGCATCCTGGATTCCACTGTTAGTCACCATCCACCAATTAACTTTTAATTACATACCCAGGCATTATCGAAGCATCTGCACAAGAAGCCGACATGTCAACCTGTGACCGAGCACTTCGGGCCAATCAATCGACGGGAAAATTTAAAATTCAATTAACCTCATAACTGTTTGACACATCAGCGCAGAAATGTATGAATTCACCTGGTCATATTTAGAGGAAGCTCAAAAATAACGGAACAAAAGCGAAATAATATTACAGTAGGCAAAAGTTGTTGTAATGGGGGAGAATAACGAAATAAAGATTAACGTATCTTTGGAGGGATAAGAAATGAATATATCCGGACACTGTGAACATTTCTGAGCCATTTTACAGATAGTCTTCAAGAACATTCTGTGGATTCAAGTTAAAATATTTACACCTCTATGTTTGATGCAGTTAGCTAGTTAATAACGTAGTGAACTCCCCGTATGTTTTGGTTCGACCACGCCTAAATTTCGCCCACTTTGACTAACGTAGCCTGTTGGGGGAGGTGGTAGTTCAGGAAATGTAACACTTCTTTAAGTCATCTGAATTTAAAACGCCACAGAACCTGGAAACAAATTTGCTATTTCCAGGTTTAAACAGTTCAAGGTGGCATGGCACTGAACTACAGTTTCCTTTGCAAGCTAAAACTATTCATACAATGATTCCCTTTTAGCCAGGTGAAGTGATCACAAGGAAGAGTGTGAAATGGCACGTGTCAGATGATCCACAATGGAAAACCCAGGGAAGCCTTTGAAGTTAAGACAGGAGCAAGACAAGGCTTCCTACTATCTCCGATGATATTCCATAATTGTGGTGGAATGGATTATGCGCCGGACTGTGCTTGAGAGCGAGAAGACAGGAATGCAAGTGTGCAGATCAGAAGACTCCAGAAGATCTGGATTTCGCGCGTAGATGATTTATGTTTAAAGTCAAACAAACTCGAAGACTTACAGGTGAAAAGTAACAAACTGGCAGGAAAGGCTGGCAACGAAGACAGGACTTCAAGTGAACATAGAGGTGATGAAGGTAACCGACCAAGAGCAACAACAAGCAGCACCAATCACCATCAACGGAAGATATTTGACAGAGGTCACCTCCTTCACTTATCTAGGAAACATCTTTTCAACTACAGGCAGTCGGCAGAGATGGAGACGTCGAAACCAGCCAGGATCAGAAAGGCATTCAGGCACTCATCACTGTGGGATCAGTTTGGAAATCTGCTGCACTTACTCAACACAAGCAACGTGATTTGGATGTTCAACACCAATGTTACATCAGTCATTTCTTCTATTATCGAATATTATATCTTCTCAGACTATGAACATACTCTCTATACATACAACTCTCCCCTTGCTGCATCTCATCATGTAGGGGACCAGAAGTAACTATAGAAGACTATAGAGTCTTGGACGACTAAGTACAAAATCTCCACAATACCTTGTTTAACAGACATTCTATGTGATGAGAAAAGTGTAAGTCAGGGCACTACCAACTGACTAAGGAACTCTACATAAACGACCCTCTTCTTACTTTTTTCATTATTATATGGTTGTTAATATTTCCACTTGAGTGGTTGGAGGACTTCATCATGAGGTGACATCAGTTACAGAACCATTGGAAAACCTGACAAGGAGTACTGGACTGCTGTTTCGTCAGCCTGGCTTGGGACTCTTCAACAGTATGCACCACCCCTACGGTTCGAACCCGGGACCTTCTGGTTACAAGGCGAACTAGCTCGTAAGCCACTAAGCCACTGGGACCCGATCCGACGGCCAGCCAGCCAATGAATTCTAGCTCCTACCAATTCACGTACGACATAGCGTTACTACTTCGTAATGTCTTCTTCGGTGAGTTCCTGCCTCACCTTCAACCTTCGACTTGAATTAAATTAATTTCATATTCGTATTCTTGTTGAATAATGTTATCAATGTGAATGCCTTGTCCTAATTCTTACCCGTGTAATGAGGTAATTAGATGATGGAATGAACTGTACTACATGCTGAAGATTCCATATATGCACCAAAAACTACTGTTTACAATAAAGCTATTGTTACTAATTATTACACCAACCAGTTTTGTTGTCTGCAAGTCAACCAAATAGGAGAAAGTTATTTAAACACCGAGTAATATCAACAACTGACAGTGCACCATGGTGGCGA